CAGCCAGGCAGTGGTAGAGAGCAGCTTCTTCAGCTTTCTCCAGGTTAGTCTATGTTGGGGGAACAAAGGGGCATGGGCCATGGATTGGGAGGCCAGGGGGGCACAGGTGGGGGAGCACATGCTGTCTGAGATTTCTGCATGCACAGTGGGGCATGGGGCTGTAGCTGGGCCGGACCAGCTCCAGGCAGGCGCTGCCTCCAGGACCATCGCTGCCAAGGAGAGGCAGCTCCTGCCCACCTGGCAGCAGCGGGGCCAAAACTCCATGCTGTTGCCTCCACTGCTGCTTCTCCACCTCACTATAGTTGCACAGCACTTCCTCATGCTCTGGCTCCTGCCCACTGGGCCACGGAGGCAGCTCCTCTGCAGATAATCTGACCCAGCTGCAGTCCCACACCCTGCTGTGGGCACGGCAATCTCAGGGGGCATGTGCCCCCCCCCGCCCCATTTCCTGTGCCCTCCTCCTTCCCCACACACCATGCCCTTCCTCACACACTGGGGTGCTGGGAGCAGGGCAGTAGGTCTGGAGTGAGGGGCAGTGGCAGGGCCAGGGGGCTGCGGGTTTGGAGTAAGGGGCATTAGCAGGGCTAGGGGCTGTGACTTGGGAGTGAGGGGCAATGGCAGGGGCAGAGCACCAGCATATCAGGGCTGCTCAGCACCACAAAGCAACTGGGGGGATGCCGCAATTGAACCCACATCCTGGTAAGTGAAAGGGACAGGGGCAGGTCTGATTTTCCATGATAGAAAACCCAATATCAAACAGCAAAATGTATAGGTATTTAGAATTTGTTTTATGATAGTGATTGAGGCACTGGTAGGCTTCTAAAATGCTTTAAAATTGTAAATATATCAATAAAACATTGTGTTCAACTGATACCTATACATATATATTGGTGTTTCATTTTAATTGTGGAATAATGTGGATTTCGGGTTTTTAAATCAGAGAATATGCAATATTTATCAGAGAATTTGCTGTTTTTAAACACAGAGAGAACACCAGGATCCTTAGTGATCAGCATTTTTTCCCTTGTGGAGGCCATTTTTCTCTTTTAAATTTATTTTAATAACCACCTTATTTCTAATAAAAGAGCCGTTCCAATATGTTTACAGCTACAGAAGCCAAATGTTCTGGTCTATTAGCCTTATCCCTCCATTCTTTAATATTGGTACTATATCCAGATTTCCTCCAGTCTTCTGGTAGCAGCTCTGATTTTAATGACTTTATGATCTGTGCCAAAGAATACGCTGACTCTTAGCTTAGCATCCCATAGTGAATCCCATCAGGTCCAGGAGATGCTGATTTGATGTATGCTTGTTCCACTAATAAGCCTTGTAGTTTGGATATGGTCCTGGCCTTCTATTCCCCCAGCAAGAGTTGCCTTCTGCTCCATCTGATCTGTTATGCGAATGTTGCTTGTGACTTGAACACACCAGAAAGAGTGAAGTTTTCCTCTTTAGTGTCACAACAAGAAGTCCTTTTTTAAATACATAGGGAGTAAAAAGAAGGCCCCGGGTAATGTGGGGCCCTTGCAGGACGCGACGGGGAATCTGGTTGTCACACCAGATGACAAAGCCAACATATTTAATGATTTCTTTGCCTCTGTCTTCCTCAGTAAGGACCAGAACTGCCACCTCCCTGCTAGGCCCCCATTGGGCCCCGAGGGAGGCACACCTGAGCCCAGGGTAAGTGAGGATCTAGTTAGGGAGCTGCTGGAGGGGCTGGATGTTTTTAAGTCAGCCGGTCCGGATGATCTCCACCCTAGAGTTCTAAAGGAACTGGCCGGGGTCATTGCGAGTCCCCTGGCGCAGCTTTATGAGCACTCGTGGTGCTCTGGAGAGGTGCCGGAGGACTGGAAGAGGGCCAACGTGGTTCCCATCTTCAAAAAGGGAAGGAAGGAGGACCCAGGAAACTATAGGCCAGTCAGTCTTACCTCGATCCTGGGCAAGCTGTTCGAGAAAATTATTCTGGCACACATCCAGGAGGGGCCAGCAGGGAAATGCATGCTCAGGGGCAACCAGCACGGGTTCATCAGCGGCAGGTCATGTCAGACCAACCTGGTGGCCTTCTACGATCAGGTCACTAAATCATTGGATGCAGGGGTAGCAGTGGATATAGTCTTCCTGGA